ACATAGCTAGGAACAGCTTTTATTCTTTTAAGAACCAAAAAGAGTTGTAGGATTTAACATATGTCTTCTTCTTTGAGTAGATTAACTGATGAGCTGATTCCTTTTAGACTTAAGTAGACGGCCACCAAATGACGCGTTTATGCATTTTCCCATGATTCTACGTACCACTTTAATTTGACCACGTCCTACGATGAAATCACTGCGATAAGACAAGCACCTTTTTTTGCAAGAATATTTGGAACTTTTGAGAGAAACCAAGATGATTAAGAGTCATGGTTCTTGACAAGGTAAGGTAGTAACACCTAATTAATGACAATTACATAAGTAATATCACTACTATAACACTACTGTTTCCACAACCAGCTGTTGATGGCTAGCAGGACTTGATTAGTTCAAAATATGGTTGAAATTTGACTAAAACTATACATCCTTCCCTCCGCTGGTTTCCACCAGTCATCTTAATTTTTACCCACAGATTATAAATAACCAGCCAATTTGAATCACTCTCTGGTCCATTTACTTTCTGAAGATTTCTTTTTTTTTTGGAATATGCTTTTTGAATATTTTGAAATGAAATTTATATTTTAAGATTCCTGGTCAACTTGAAAGTGCAAATTTTTTATTTATAAATCAACTGCCAAACCTTGAATGCTATTTGCTATCTCTTGTCACTAAATACGAAATCATCAATCCCAGTTTTAATTCGTAGCTGAAACGAAAAAAAGAAGAAGAAGAATTATTCTTACCCCTCATTTCCCTCCACCGGCCTCTACCCTAACCATATTGATAGAAAAACAAAAGATCCTTCGTTGAAAGTTTGAAACCACTCCCAGAAGGGAGGGAGGGAGGGAGGGGGAAATACAAAAGGCAAAAATAGAAAACTAAAAAAGGAAGTAAACTGTAATGGGCTGAACTTCTCAAATATTTGCCTGATCCTTATACTTGGCCCACGAGGCCCACTTTTTTCTCTTTTTTTTTTTTTTTGGGGGGGGGGGGGTGGGGAAAAAAAAAAGAGAACTCCCTTGGCTAATGCCCTGTTTTTCCAATTATGCTGCCATAGATAACGGATTCTTAGATATAACCTTTTTTTTTATTTTTTTGGGACAATGAGATTCTAGGAAAGATTTTTTTTTTTTTAAAAAAAATTACGACATGATTCCGACAAATTGCCTAGTTCAGTGTAGAGATGATCTGTATATTGCTGTAGCAAAATTAGGAATTCTTACACATGGATGATGCAATATATAGTACTTGTAAGATAATGGGCTGCTTATAGGTTTTCTCAACAAGACTTATTATGGATCTCCGAAGGTAAAAGCTAAATAAACTTTTATTTTTCTCACTTTTAACTTTTTGTTTTAGATTACCTTCAACAAAATATATATATATATATTTTGCTTTTTTAAGATATTCGCAAATGAGTTTAACTTTGAATACAAGAAGGATGGACAACCATAGCCATCATGCAGCTTGGTGTTGTTAACGTATCAAACTTCAAGAAATGTTTCTCTCACACCTTCGTCTTTGTTGTTGAAAGCAATGCATAGAGAGGGGTAGAGTATGTATGATGCGAGCTAGATTGTGATGTGCCCCAATGGGTTTCTTTATCCCATAACTTCTCACTTTCATGTAAACGACTACTTTTTCAACTCATCTAATCTCTGGTTGTCCCTTTCTGTTCCTATCAACATTTTATGTCCGCCGGATGACTTTATGATGATTTTCTACAATCTTCAAATGAAATTTCGGTTCTCTTGGTTTTACTTTAGTCATTGAAGCTTCCATATTCTCATTTACATGCGTAGTCGATCATTAATTCTGTGCTGAAGAAGAACCCTACGTACTGATTCTTGCTGTTGATGCTTTTATTATTAAGTCTAGGGTATATGCTTTAATATTAGAAGGTCACCTAAAGATTAGAAGGGAGAAAAGTTATAAGAATATATAACTCCAATATAATTCCCTCTAAACTAGTAAATTTTTGTTATTTCCTATATGGTATGAACAGTAAAATGTTTCTTCTACATAGCAACTGAGCCTCCCTTTCCAAAAAAAAAAAAAAAACTACTGAAAGTGCATTTATTTTTCTTTTTACCTTCCCTTGCTTTTAGGCCAATCTCTGTCCGAGGATCTAATTGCAAGTAACTCCGAGCTGGGTGGTGCGAATCATGATGATAAAATAAAAGACATGACGTTAGAGCTCTCAGGAACAGCTGCCTCTTCACCTTATAATGTACTACTCTCTGATAACCCTTTCAATCACGTACGTGACTTGACTGAGTGGCTAGAGAGCTTGTACATGATCGTATATCACATGCTTCCTCAGATCTCTCTCTCAAGTACCTTGTACATTTTCTTTCTTTTTAATTAGGCTTTTCACCAGCACCTTGGTTGGCTTGAATGGTCTCAGGTAGCCTAGTTAAGTCGCGAGATTGTGTGTTCGAATCACTTCTCTATCGCTTGTATATTCTTGGGGCGGGATGCACAGGTGCAGGAAGATTAGTTCAACAAAATTGGGATGTTAAAAAAAAAATTAGGCTTTTCATCACTCCTTCTATTTCATCATTGGTGTTGCTGGAAGTGAGATTACTAAAAACTTACAAGAATTTGCTAATTAATTTATAAGATTGACAACATGCATGTTCTAAATTGTACCCCGTATCATAGATCTCACGATGCGTGCTCTAGATGATCCAAATTGGCCAAAAGAGGTAGCTGTGGTCAAGATTGAAAGAACTTTCATCTTATTCATTTTTAAATTCAAATTTTCTAGAGAAAATAATGTATTCCCTTTAATGCATCGTCCGTGCTAGCTAGTATAAGAATTGCAGTAATCTTTTTTGGTGCTTGTAATATTTTCTAGCAACTGCATCCCGAGTAGGAAAGAAGACACAGATCTTGCTTGGTGGTCACAGAGTCGAAATGCATTTGCAGGTTCAATAAATACTGAAAGGACAACGTGTATAGCTTTGAACTGTGACCAAATTGACCGGGTAGCATTTTCTAGTGAAGAGTTGAACTACATGGTTTTGATGATTCAAATTGCTGAGCACAGAAGAGGTTGGGAGTGGGGGTATGTGTGCAAGTATGCAAATGTCCAGAATACTATGTTGGGAAAGAATGGGGTTCTTTCAGTTCTCTGTTATGCTTGAAACTGACCAAAACATCTTATTCTGTTTAAGGAAAAGTCATCATGACCCTTGACACCCAGAGATTGTCGGGAACATGCAAACTATCAGATTTTGGGAAAAGCATCGAATGACCCATAAAAAATAACACCACCCTAAATCATTGACATGGCCACCAGCACCACCACCATTGGGGTATAAATGTTTGTACTGATCACACAAGCAGACAATAGATTTGAATGATGGAGAGAGTGCTTTTGTCGATGTTTCTTGAGGTAATTGAAAAGTAAATACTACTACTGTATTTGATATGTGCTTCCACAGTTTGGATTTGGCTGATTGGTGACTTACAACTATGCCCCTTATTAAGTGTGGTGTTTTGTATTAATTAATTAATGATCCCCCAGCCGATATATATCTGAAAATTTGTGTAGCACTTTGAAATATGTTTCATTATTGTTTGCCAGCCAGGTTCAATTATTCGGTATAAATTGAAAGCGAGAGACACTAAAATATATGGTACATTTGAAGGAAGCCATGCTAGTTTTCCGAAATTCCTGCTTGTGAAACTAGAGATCTTTTCCTTGTTTTTTTTTTTTGGCAATGTGCCAAAAGGATTTACAACTATTGAGTGCCTTTTAGTCCAAGCATGTAATCTTTCTAGCCACTTCATTTTTAATTAGTTGGCGCCAGCTTAATCCAATTAGCCGACATATGAAGAAAGTTAAACAAGGGCAAAGAGGGTTCAATTTCTATCTTCACATTAGAATACTAAAGGGTAGTCATATAAAGTTTGGTTTATGACAAGATTAATTAAGTTTCAAAAGGGTTTTAATGACACTATTTAGAAACTTTTAAGGGTCCTAGGCGACATTTACTAACACCTCCGGGCAAGTTGCATTGCAATTGCCAACCACTCTTAAAAAAAATTTCACACTTGTTACTTCGGCCACCACATATCTCAATCTTGGCCATCTCTTTGATGGAACCCAACGATTGGCACTGCAACAAACGCTCGAAAACAATCACAGGAAATTTCTTTTGTTGCGAGCCCTTCAAATCTTTAATACATAACTAAACATGAATGCATTTCCCCAATTCATTTTTTCTTGAGATTATTAATTCTTAAAGTTTGAAAAGGAAAAGTTCTCGAAGAAGAACTAATGTATAATTATATGTGTTATCACTTCCTTCCTTGATATTATTGTTGTCCTGGAAGATATTCAATTCGAAAAAGAGACGTTTGCTTGATATTTTTAATCAAAATGAGTTGGAAACATGGAATAGAGGTTACATGCGGGCATCTCATCCATAAACACAAGACCTACACAAGCTAGCTAAGTGGGAGATTGATCGATTGCTTTGCGTCTGGTACTTCTTCTACAATCGCCTACTGTTGGATGCTTAAGCTAACCAATAGCATCTGATTTTGAATGGCAGATGGTTCCTGTGTCACTAGTCCAATTTTATTTGTTGACATAATCTTCTTGACTATGATTCCAAAACAATACTGGAATCCCAAATTAACTGTTTCTCTTATCCAAATTGACTTCCCTTTCTTCTTGTGTTTTTCTTGATATCCTTCAACATAATTCTAACAAAATTTCGCTGCCTATTAAAAAACAAGCAGAGTTCAAAAACGTCCAAAAGTGAAGAAGGAAATGGAAGAAACCATAGATGGGACAAAGTATCAAAGAGAATCATAGAACAGAAAACCGGAATAGAGTTTGAATTTCTAGAAAGCATTTTACCTATATATCATACTAGGCATGAACTCCTGAGAACGAGAAATGTTCAAGGCTTCAAGCTTTGGCTCATTTGCATAAATGTGATCATAAAATTGGAAACATAAGTTAAGCTACCATATCTATTTAAAATTGAAAATTTGCATGGCCTTCCGCAATAACACAACATATAAGCTAGTTAAAAGTTTAGAAATCTGAAAAGGTACTTCTTCATGGAATCATCTCCCTGATCTCTAGTACTCCTACACTCTAATTTATCCCCGACTTAAATACTGCAATGCCATAATATAAAGCACTACACTTTCTTACTTTCCCTTATATTCCCCCAGAAAAGTTGAAAAATGTTGGAGGCTAAAATAAGACCATGAGATTCTTTAGGACTGCTCTCAAGTGTATCCCAGTCGAAGTTCCAAATCCAAATCCTGCTTTGCTTCACCAACTAAGCCAATTTCCAATTCCAGCTTAACAATATCTCCCCTCTTCAAAAGTGAACCTTCTTTCTCATGCAGCTCAAGAAGTCTTTTTGTAGCTTTACTCTTCATTAAGTCTTGATCTTTAGGATATGAATGGCTCAGTTGATGAACACCACCGCCAGCTTTATCACCCCATTTTCTCATTCCAGTGACAGTTGCTGGTGGGGTTGTGGAAATAGTGGAAACTGGGGGAGGAATTGGAGAAGGATACGTGGAAGGCATCAAAGGACATCTTGCTGAAGGACTAGGGTTAGTATTGAAAGTACTGAAGTTAGGGTTTGGTTCAAGGTTGAGATTTAGGAGGGAATACTGACCATCCCTTGGTGGAGATTGTCTCAATCTAGCTCTATCCCTCCTATGAACATTCATGTGACCTCCTAAAGCTTGAGCGGATCTGAACTCCCTTTTGCAAAAGCTACATGAGTAAGATCTTGGAGGCCACGAAAATAATCCAAGTAAATCTGCTTCTTCAGTGCCATTGCAATCATTCAGAAAATCCCATGGAGGATTCTTAACCTTGTAGCATCCTGCGTTCTTCTTGTGGCTATTGTTGTTGTTGTTCATCTCTTTCATGCTTCTTCCACCACTATTTCCCCGAGCACTGTTTCTCTCCATTCTCTGCTTTCCACTTCAGTGACTTAGTCAGACCTAATAAGTTCTCTGGGTTGAGTACAAACTGTGGCCGTTACTATATATAAATTGTATCAAAGAACACAAAGAATTTCCCCCCTTTTTTCTTTCTCTCTCTTTTCCTTTTTTTTTTTTGTTGTGATGAGTGGAGGGGAGGAAACAGGTAGTGATAGGGGTATATGTGTGTATTTTGTGTGTAAGTGAGAGGAAGAGAGAGTGATGAATGAAAAGGGGGAGAAGTAATGTGAGGTTGCTGGCAGAGCCCTCAAATTCTCAGCCAAGAAGAAGCTGAAAATCCCATTGGAATTTGGGATGCATTAACACCAACAGTTGGCTAAGTTTGGTCATTACTTACTAATAATAGAACCTCGTCCTGCCAGATTATGCCTTTTTGCTAATTCTGGGAAACGACCCCTATGGATGATCCTCACTTCTCTTTTGAATTCGTGTCATATATCATCACACTTCCAATTGTTCTCTCTCTCTCAAGATGAGGTGTTCCTTTTTTCCTCTATTTGCAGACTTGTATGTTAGGTAATTTTCTGATTTTATAAGGTACTAATTAAGTGGGAAATTCCTTTAAATTCTGCGTTTTTAAGTTTAGTTCTATTTGAGAAGTTTCGTATTAACCCTTTTTGCTTCTTGTTTCACATGTCCAATCGAATACTCACTACATTTCTTCTATATTTCTGCATTAGATATCTTATTACGAGATATAAAACCTTCTTCCTCTGACTTGAATGGGAGAACAAATAATTCATAGAAGAAAACTCACACATGTTGCCGAAATGAACATAGACATACGTTATTTTAGCAATAAAGCTCTCTCGAATTTAAATTCAACAGGATAATTAAATTAGTATCTTGATCGAGAAATAATTTAAAATTTTCTGTTGAAGAGATAAAATTGCAACAGCAATTAATTTGTCATCATTACGCTGAGGAACGTGCATGATTTCGAGGTTCAAGATTCAAGGATTTATATCTAGATACTTGGTTAGGCAATTGTCGTGGCACACATGGCCAGGATCCATCCACTTCATCAAATGCGACTCTAAACAGTTGAAATTTCCAATAATTCTCTCAGCAATACTTCACCGTGAGAGGTGGGATGTTGCCACATACTGGCAAATTGTTGAAATGGGATTGAGACTTTTATATGAACAAGTAACTTGGGATTCAACAATTAATTTTGAAATGTATGACTAATCAAACCTATACAAATATATATATATATATATATATATATATATATAGGGTTTTGGCGTTTGTCACATGGTTGTGCCATTGATATTTAAATAGAGTATCAAGTGTTAATTTCTTGAAATAGTGAAATGAAATTAATAAAGCGTTTAAATGTGGGAGGAATAATAGATATGGATATATACATGCATTTATTTTTGAACCAGATGCACTAACCTAGTGTGAAAAAGTCCATATAATTTGTGCAATAGGGGCATTAATTTGCTCATGCACATGACCGCTATTGACATTCCGGGATCTAGCAGCCAAATGCTATTTTTTGTCTGTAAAACAAGAAAAAAAAGTTTAGGTTATTATATTTACGGAGCAAGTAGTAACATTTTCTGAGTGCAAAAGAAAAAAAAAAGATAAATCAATTCCATGTTCTATTTGTTCAAATTCTTTGGGGTGGGTGATATATACCAATGTGTATGCAAGTCATGATGAGTAATAAGTGGTTGGTCACGTTATTTTGAAATGGAACAACAGTAGTGACAGCCAAAATATTCACTGAAAAAAGCTTTGATAAATGACTACAAGCCTTAGATTTCAAAGGTGTAAGGATATCTGAGTGAACCCCAGATTTCCTTTGCCATTTTCTTTCGAGAAAGAAGGAAAGTTTTCCAGAACACCCAAACAAACAAAAGATCGTTCCTCATATAGCTCAGATTTTGTGATTGACTGGTGGCCAATTGGATGGTGCGATCCCATTCTATAAACAGTTGTGCCTTTAACAAGTTCAGCTGAGCCGAAATTGCAGACATTACCCTTAGCATATTTACATTGTATAAATTAAATTAAATACACACTAATATCAGCTCTGGGTGTTTCCTTGAAGGAAAAGATAATCATTGAAGCATGCAGTAAAGGAGGAGACTTTACTTTTATTAAAAGCTCATCTCAACCAGCATAATTATCTGTGAATCCTTGCTTAATTTGTATAAGACAAAAAAGAAGGAGATAAAGGGAGGCTAATTTTGCTATATATTACTTTGATTGACAAAAGGCATGTGTATGTGTTTTTATCTTTGTTCCATTTGCTTTTTCAATTCTGAACAGCTTCAAAACTCGTATCCTCCCACTACAACAAAAATGGTTTTTCCTGACATATCTATAAGGACACTTGCTGGTTTGTGCCATTATAAAACTTCTATCATGACACTAGTTATCAACTCAATAATATATACTCTAATTTTTTTTATTTTATTTGATATAAAAATAATAATGTACCTTTAGACTCCCTATTATGACACTTACGAAAATGTGAGATACACCAAAAAAAATTAAAACACAAAACGACGTCGTTGGATTTTGGCGGAAGATTCCTTTGCCAAAACACTTAGTGAAATCTCAAAACTTTATTTTGCCTCCCAGTGAAATTTTGCTTCTTCTTTATCTCTCGCACAAAGTCTTTCTCTCGGCAAACTGTCTCTCAAAACTCTTGGCCAAAATTTTGCTTTCCCACAAAGTTTTTCCTGTTGAATCTCTCCGCAATCAAACTATCCTTGCTTTCCCATTGAAGGGATGTAATTCCATGATAAATTTTTGCCCTAAATTGATTTCTCTCGGTTGCCTAAATTTTTGCCCTCTGCCTCTCTCGGCCACTTTCCTCTCCTCTGCTCCCTACCTCTGCCGTCCCGTCGCCCCTACTCTTTCCCTCTCATCATCAGGTTTAGGTTCGTCAAAACCAGAAAATGGAACAACATGACATTGAAAAGGACGAGTTCGAATTCTCCAAAAACAACGAAGCCCTAATTTTTGGTCCCGCTTCTCAAATCTCGCGGTTTCGCTACGTCGTCGACATCGGCTGCTGCAAATTCTTCTTCATCCTCAACGGCATCGTCTCAATTCACCTACACTACCGGCACGTACTTTCCGACTCCGTTTCACCTACAACAGCCGCAAACCTATGTCGCTGCTGCCGCTGCCGCTTCAATTCTGCAATTTCCTGCTCGTCCTCCTGCGGTTCCCCACGTTTATCCTGCTCCCGCTACAGTCCCTACCGTGTACTCCCTCCCTCAGTATCAACAGGTACGAACTTTTCTATATCCAATCATTAAGCCACGTTGTTTTTTTATATGAATTTTGGATGGAATATTTTTGGAGAGATTTAGGGTAATGATTTCGGCTCTTTTTCCTCTTCCCCTGACATTTGAATTCCCTTGTCAGCAGCTATGATGAGAAACAATTGATCTTTTTAATTATTGGTAGGAGTCGAGATATGTATACCATTGTTATCTATGTGAGTGGAGGAACCAGGAAGTCCAATTTTTCGGTAAAATACCCGGTCTGTTCATTTATATATATGGCTTAATTCATTTAGGAAGAACTTCCTAAATTGATTTAGGAAGTTGAATTTAGGCATTAGAAGAACTTTAGGTTAATGTTTTTCTTCTAAAATTATTGACCTTCTTTATTGTTGAGGTGTGATTATTTACTTAAGTTGATATGATAGTGGTGGAGATTTTAGTTTTTAGAAAAGAGGGAGGGGGGGCAATGTAGAAGGTGAAGGGGATTTCACAAATTTTAGGGTGCAAAGGTGGGCCAAATAAGAAAGCAGTACCTCGTAAGGCAGCAGGGCAGGCATGGGCAAAAATAACAGGGGATCCCATAAACTAGGCGTAGAGGTAGACTGCCTCAGTCTAAGTAGTAGTATTACTAACGTGTGACTTCATCACGCCATCACTTTTCAAACTAAGACTTCTAATGTTTTTTTTTTTTTCAAACTAAAATTCGGGGTCTTATCAATTAATTACACAAGCCGGGACGACGGACCACATCATGCTTTACCAACCCCGACGACACCTGTTCGTTTGTTTGTGCCGCCCAATTCTCATGTTTTACTTGCTACTTACCAGTAGCATATGTTTTTAACTTAATTATTATTCAACCTGATACTGTGATGCTTGCTTTAATTAAACAAGTGCCTAATCCACTGTCTCACCTCATAAGAAGCAAGGCCCCACAAGGCTTCTGATTGGTATCGAATGCCTCCTTTTCTAATTGCTTTCCTGCTTCTATGACTATTAGTAAAGGATGCAGATGCTATAATGCTTACAAAAACATATACTACCAGTAAACTTTTAATTGCCAAATTGCCAACTGAACTTGATTTGATTAGCTAAGCTTCTCGTAGACTAGGATTATACCATAATCAAATTTTACTTCATAACTAAAAAGGAAAAGAGTTCTTCTTTCTTTTCGTTTTCTTGTAAAGACCCATGGTTTCTATGAGCTCTTCTAGTTCATTTTACTCTTTATGCTATTGGTAGGCTCACCTCATGGGATCACCACCTTGTCATTCTACTTTTGGATGTCATTTTATACGTACATTATATCTAAACAGGAATTGTGTTATTTCACTCGTAGGTCATCAGTCTCTGTGACTGTAGGTTTGAAAGGAACGTATAACACAAGGCCGAGACTAAGAAGAAAGCAGTACCTCGTAAGGCAGCAGGGCAGGCATGGGAGGATCCTACACTTGCAGATTGGCCAGAGAGTGAGTTTCATGTACTCTACTCCTTGTGTGGTTGCATTCATCATTTTTTATGACAATTTTCGCCTGTCTTAATTCCTTCACTGATCTTGTTTTTGCTAGTATTAATGCCTTCAGTATTACTGTTTGTGTTGTGCAGATGATTCTCGTTTGTTCTGTGGTGATCTTGGTAATGAGTTGAATGATGATGTTCTATCCAAAGCATTTTCAAGATTTCCATCTTTTAACATGGCCAGGGTGAGTTATTTGAACTCGTCCACTTTTTATATGTCTCAACCTTCTCTTGTTCGAATTATCGAAACTTTAATTTGTCTCCTTGTCGTGGTTGCCTTTGGTGAGGTTCTGACCTGATTTTGCATGATCCCTTAATCTGATTTCGAAGAAGTGCTTTGATCTGATGTACGAGTTTAAAACTTTGAACTTGGACAACATCTATGGTTATGTTTGTGTGAAATAAGATTAAATTTTGCTAGCATATGATTCTTTAGCTTAAGGGATGCTTGGTATCGAACACTGTTCTGGCTGATCATACTGGTGCTTCTACCATTATTTTTATAAAAGAGAGAAATTTAAGAATCTCTCATGTCTCTGAGCTCTTGAATCTGTGCACTTTTGTGTCTGCATCCACACTCGTCCCTTTTGTCGTGACAAATGCCCCTTGTAGTTAGTCAAACATAATATATATTATCTGATGTTTAAAGGAGAATGATTAATCTGCTTAGTCATACTGTCTTTTGTTCAGTGCATTACTTGACAGTGTTGGTACTGTGATCACTACTATATGTAATGTTGCCTGGACGACGAGCTTTAGTTTCAGCTTGTTGACAATGTTGGCTGTTCAGGCACCAGTTAGTGATTGGGAGTACAATGCTACGCTCCCCAAAACTGCTTCAATGATTGATTTGGCTTCAAAAATAATGATGACTTGTTTAGCACTGACTTAAGTGAGGACCAGCTGAGGCAGAGACTTGGACACATGTCCCACACACCTTGTCAAGTAGGAAATTGCAGTACATAGTTATGTCCAATATCTATAATTTTTTCCATCGCATTTGATAGACCAAAGGCTATATTTCTAGCATGACATGATTTCTAGTAGGTTGAATTGCTTGAACGCAAACTATTTCCTGGGGTGTTATTATATTATTATTGTTGCAATTTTTTTCCTATCATTTTCCAATCTCAAATGCTCAAGAATTGGAAAAAAAATTTCTGTTTCCCCAGATCACTGTATACACTTTTCTTCATCCCTTCAATTTCTCGGCTGTTTTCTCTTCTTCTGAAGGATTGGCACTAACCTCTACTAAAGCATAGCTGGACTGCTCCACCTAGAGATGGCTGAAGGAAGTGGAAATGAGGAGACAACTCTTGAGCATACATCAACATGGGCAGTGGTAGTTGTTTGTTTCATCTTGATGAGCCCAAACAATGTACTATATATATACTATACCTCTCGCGGATCGTTGCTAATATTGTACAATTACGTTACCTGACTTTTAGCATTTCTTTCAACTTGTTAGGGATGAGAGTCTTTTTGTCTGTGCACAAGAAAGTCTTTCAAGTTATTGTAAATGAGAATCTTTCGGTACTTTATTGGGATTTTAGTACTTGCTTTGAGCACTTGTTTGCGATTTTAGTACTTGCTATGTTTGTACTTGTTATCGACTTTTAATTCAATGAATTATATTTGAGTATCGACTTCTTCTTTTAAATTGCTATATGCATTCTGCTCTTTGAGATAATTTTACAAGTCCCTTGGGATTCTGGTTGATGGAATGTACAGCAAGGAGGACTAATTGCAGGTTGCTTCCATATAAAAAAAAACAGGGAAAAAACTCCTGGCAATTAAAAGTGTCAGCATAGCTTAACTTCGAAAAACACTAATGACAAATGGGCATGTCGTCCAAAGCAGTGTAAATTCACATGGCTACGTGTCCTTAAAGTCATATATTAAGACAACTAAAGATGCCTTCATAAATTGGATATACTACTGATCCGCTACTGATGTTCTAATGCTATACGGACACTTTCGATTATCACAAAAAAAAGTTTTTGTTGGCAGAGGGAATGCTATAGCAGCATGGTTTTCCTGACACGTTTGAATGTTGCTAAAGATTTGAGGCTATCCCCACATTGGAAGGGACAACACTCGCCCTAGGTGTGAGGATAGATAAAATGTCAGGTTAAATTGTCTATACTGACACTTTTAAATGCCGCTAAAGGCCATTTTTTTTGTAGTGTCCTTTTATTAGACTGGTGGTGTCAATAATTGTTCTTATATGCTCATGATTTCCATATTTGCTTTAGCTTCCCTAATGTTACTTTAAAAAGTTTTTCGAAAGTTAAAAGGGTAAGCTTTTTCATGTCTTAAAAAAGACCTTCTTAATTCCTTTTATAAGCTTTTTTTTAAGAAAACCACCTAGTTGATGAGAGGTCCTAATTAATTTTACTTATAGGACAAAACAAAATTAACAGAACTGAAATTTACCACTTAAAGTTGGTAAAAGGATGCATGAGCCTTGCTATTTAACCAAGTGACTAGGGAAGGGTTGGATTGAATGTTAAGGTGAGAGGAATTATAAATAGGAGATTCTAAATTTAAGACTTTCCACTTATTAAAAAAAAGTAAAAAAAAAAAACTAGTGACTATGACCTGTAACAAGAGAAAATTAGAAAAAGGCCATTGACAGATTACATTTTTATCATTAATTTTATGATTGTTTCCCTCGTTTATATTACCAAATATTGTATTAATTGATTGATTCTACTTATATTTGGTATTTTGTGTCAATTATAGGAAGGTGGAGCAAAAAGTAATAAAAGAGGTGATTTTTTAAGAGTTTTCCAATTCAAGATGGAGTCTACGTGGAGTATTGGATGAAAATTAGGAAACTACTACTTTTTATCAGATGTCTTATCAGGGAACAATTAACATTAGTTGGAGAAGTTTCTTTTGCAATTAGAATTCTATTTTTGGTTGGCCAATGGACGACCGAAGTAGTAGACTTCAATTAGAAAACAAAGAGAAAGAAAAGGCCGGAATCCCGCGTGATTACTACCTTGGCAGGGAACAAGAAAAAGGAGACGGCTGCTGGTCTCTTTTTTAGTTAGTCTTTAAGGAAAAACCAGTGATTATAGATGGAGTCCTACGGATCTCCCTTGAGGATGTGTAGCTAAATCTCCATTTTCTAGTCGAAGGTCAATTTGAGGATTCGGTTTCGAACATCTGTGAGATCGAATTATTTTACTTATTTTTTTATTCATTTGTATTTGTACGTTTCCTGATTTAACTTTTTATGATTGTTATGTTATTTGAATGTCAAGAGCTCGATATTCGAATTAACCTAATAATCTACTGCCAGATTAATTGAATTAATCCGTAATTGTTCAATTGATTAATATCAGTGGCGACTAGCGTGATTGGTTTCATGTTAGGGAAACGTATGAGCTAACTTAAACGAACCCTCGTAGCATGTTTGTTAGTTTTTCTAATTCTTATTGCAATCGAGAAATTAAATCATATGGTCGTACTTAGGGCTATTTCTTGGTTAGGGAAATAGTTAATGGTCGTACCTTGACTATCGAAAAAGTAAGAAAATGCTGGTTGCGTGTGTGTGACAACTATAATCTATTAATGAGTAATTGAATTATCTTTGCATCGATGATCAGTTGAATGGATCGTGTCTGAAAAGTTGGACATTTGGCTAGAGTCATATTGGTTATTGATTAATTCCTGTTTATTTCTATTAGTTGTTCCATTAGTTGGTTAATTAGTTATTTTATATTTTCCGAAAACCCCCCATACTTCAGACTCTGGAAGAAATGAATTATCCCCAGTCCTTGTGGAGTCGACCCTACTCACCGTTATATACAAAATTTAAATTTTTCTCGAGTAGGTTTTATTATTGCACAGACTCGATAACCTGTCAATTTTTGGCGCTGTGAATTAATTGGGATAACTTTGCCCGAGTAGAAGTCTTCAAAAGCTACTTTTTTTTTTTTTGCTTGAAAAGCTAAATTGTACTTTCATTAAAAAAATCTCTTTCTAAAATTAACCATTTTAAACTTATATTAGCTGATATAAGGGGAAAAAAGGAAAACACATCAAAATATATAGTTCCTGTCCAAAATGAACATATAATCTAGACCCATTCTGAGCTAATAATTAAGAAAATCGTCAAGGAATCAAAGGCTTAGAAGCCAAACTTGCTATTAGTACTAGGTTGGAACGAAGCCCTACAATCTATAATTTTTTACTAATTAATTTATGTTAAAACATTTTGTAGTTTGGAATCTCAAAATTGTGCCTGTAGTAGTGTTTTTTTTTTTGGTCAAATTGTACCTGTAGTAGTTGCCTGAGGTGAATTAGTTTGATTCTAGAGTTGAAAGATGAACCAAGTTTCTTGACACTCGAATCAAGCTCCACTTGATAAAAACTCGTTTGAATTTGATTCACTAACTAATTAAATTAAAATTGAACAACGTTTTATGTTCGATAGTTTTCAAACTCGATAAAAAACTCGCTCATACTTGGTTCAGCAAATTGACAAGTGGTACTTGAACAAAATTTCAAATTCATTAAAATAATTAATAAACTTGAACACTAGAGTATTCAGTTTGATTAGACTGGTTTATATTCTTATTTGGTTTAAGCGTACTGCACTATTCACTTACTACCTTGGTTGTTTAGCAAAAATCAACTATGTACTTACATAGGGTATAGCCTAATTCATGGCATCATGTATACCTTTGACAATTTTGGAAGGATTTTTTTTATACACTGATAGAGTAGTAAAATTTTTTATAATAGCAATTTTGAATGTATGACATATGTACATAATTTGAAGTTCAAATTCAAATTCAAATTCATGTTATGTGGCATGATTTAAAAATGATAGTATAAAAAAAATTATACACTAATCATGTATTAAAAAGTTATCCATTTCCAAATGCAATGCAGATATAATTTTCCACTTAAAAGGAAATACGTGTTTAAAAGGTACATAATATACTAGTCTTTCATATGTTTCCGCTAGTATCTAGTTTATTAGTTTGCTTTATCATGATATTTACGTTAATTACAAGTACTACTCTTGCACTGCAACTGTTACGTGCGTGGAGGCAGGGGACCAGGCGACCTGCACGGCCCTTGCGACCGGGACTTCTAATAATTGCATTTTGACCTATATTATTTTATAGTATTTTATTTTAACCCCTTATCTTGCCCCTAGCTTTTTCCTCAACAATATTATGGTTAGTTTCCTTCTTAAAGCTTATCTTTGACTGATTTTTACAATTATCCGTGGTATTAATTTGTGCAAAGAGGATTAATTTCTTCTTTTAATCATATGTAGTCATTATACATTATGTGCAATTTTTGTACTTTTATTCTTCGTGCATAGAAAAATATTTCATTTGATTGAATTAGTTTTTATGTGCAAGCATTAGTTGTAATAATAAATACTAGAACTTTTACTTCCTAATTAAAATTCTTTAACCACAAATAGTTACAATTTTCCTTTTTGTTTTTGTAAAACAACTTATATGCGGCTTCTTGTATCCAAATTCACTCTCCTATGTCCAATTCTAACTCTGCCACTGCACACGCAGATATTTATTATCTCAAAAATGTCAGGTATGATCCATAAATGTCCAAATGCATTTCTCCTAAAATGCTACTTTGTTACAAATAATAAGCCAAAAATATGTAATATCCACTCTATTGATGGATATGACTTTCTAAAGGTATCCACTCTATTAGAGGAATGGCTGAGATGTTTTTGTTTGATAGAGTTGACGAAGCCCTTCACTTGGCCGAAGGATCAACAGAGATGACTGCTACCCATAGAGTGGAAAGTATGCATGGATGCTCCAAAAGGAGGTGAAAGAATGGAAATGAACGATCACCATAATCTTCTTTAGCTATGGTTGGCAAAAGAAAACAGAAAATATTCTTGATTTGATTGCTTGAATTTTGGAAATCCGGATTAAATGGTCCTGTCCTGTAACTATTTTCACAAGGAAAAGAGAGAAAAAAGGAAAAATAGCATACTCTGTATAGAACTTACATTAGCTTTTAGCAATACCTGCATTTCAGCTCCCCTAGAAGAAAGCAGTATAGCCCAAAAGCAAGATTAGGAACGAGCACGCCAAAGAGAACAAAGTGGCAGACGGTGGAATACGTCCCTTGTCCTTCCTCAACATCATTCCTTCAATTATGGGATAGTTCACAATCAAGATGAAAAATGAAAGGAAGATTTGCCCAAACAATTCTCCCCATCCACCAGCAAGGCTCGATTTTCCAATTCCCCAGATGAAGGACACCGTGTTCAATATGACCAGTGTGACCAATGGTGCAAGTAGCATTGTTGATGCTTGGAAATCATATATGCCCAATTGATATCTCTTGACTTGTTCACCATCAGCAACTTTATTTGTGGGCACAAAACTGGCTTCTTTGACACCAAATAACTTCAAGAAAGCATCCAAGCTTCCATAGAAATATGCTGTAACTGATTTTGTCATCCATACACGCCATTCATTCCACCAAATCCTTGTTGTTCCTCCTGTTCTGAGAACATCCCACAGATGGATGCCAAGAGTTGATAAGAAAGCAACTG